ATTTAGCATTTTGTAAATGTGTTCTTCGAAAGAAATCTGTACTAAAATGGCTATCAATGTAATTTCTAAAATCGAGGGGGCGAAATGCTATTTGTTACTCTAAGTTGCAGCCGGCAGTCTGCAAGAACCACAAAAACTAAAAAGCTAAATTTTAATCTCTGTACGGTAGTCAAGTTAAGGTGTTAAGCAAAGACCCAACAGAGGGCGCTATTACCCCGTTCAATGATGGATTTCAAAGGGAATTTAAAGCTTCATATTAAAATATGTAGGATTTTTCAGATGTGGTCAGTTTGGAACAATTTGCTTAGATTTTAGTCGTAAATACGGTGAGGCTTAGTGATGGGATATTTTTATCCCATGTTGATAACCTGCTTTTAAAATACCCATTCACTCTTTCAAATATGATCCTGAAGAATAAAACAAAACAAACATTATACTGAAAATAATATCATTTGATCCGTTCCAACAATTCTGAGCAGTTTGACATTAAAACGCTTGTATTAATTTTAAAATATATATTAAAATAAGTTTCAGACACTAACGGCAAACATTGTAAAACGTAAGCAGCATATTTATATTAATTATTATACATGTAACATATTTAATATGAAATGTTTTGTAGCTTTTAGATAAAATAATATAACTGTTTCTATTTTAAATTATTAAATTAATCTGAAATAATCTCCGGGGGTGGGGGAGGAAAATCCTGGATGAATCAAATCGTTTTCAAAAAGATTATCAGAACTATGGATCTATTGCATTTTGTTAATCCGAGTGCTAATAAATATATCAAGGAGTCCGGCACTTAAAAACTAGCCATTTTATTATGGCAGAAACTTCCCGTGAGTTGCCACAGATGAAATAAGTTGCGACTCTTACGTAACAAGAAAATAATATTTAAGGTGCCACCGCATTCCTCGTTGTTTTTGCTGAAACAGACTAACACCGGTACCTCTGCAATCTAATAAACATGAGATTTGCGAATTAGAATGTACATTCTAAAGCATTTTACTAGTGGAGTAGCATTGGTCGATACATCGATTTTGTCTTTTTTTAAATTTATTATTACTTTGCTTTCTGATACGTGACACAGAATCTCCGGTACTACTCAATTGCAACTCACTGTAAAGCACAAATATGTCATAAAACAGAGTCTCTCTGCAGGACCCGCATTTTAGAGCACGAGCCATAGACTTCAGCAAAAATGGTGCCAAAGTGTCCTTTAATCTGATTTTTTTTAAATGATTGCTCACTGCGCGCAGAACCCTGTGTGTGCGCGTGTGTAACTTAATGTGGACGCCTACCCAATGGAAACAGCACACATATATCTCCCTTTTCAGTATCCTATTAGTACTACTGCCCGGGACGGAGGTCGCTCTCAAATCCATTAAAGATCAGCCCTCTCCGAGCTTCTAACCCCACTCAGCAATGGAAAACCACATAATCTTTGCTGAGAATCCCTTTTATCTGCTTTAATAACTTCCCACCACACAAAAAAAATGCCCTGATCCTCTATCTCCTATTTGTTTCTTCCCCTTGGTGGGCTGAGCTTCTGCTTAGAGACGCCTGCTTGGAAATGGGGTGTAATAGGGGAGAAAGTTGGGAAGGGAGGGAGGGGAAGGGCGAATTTACACTTTCCAGCAGTTTGCGGGGATGAAAGCTTATTCAACCGAACCCGCGTTTTAGAAGATTAAAAAGTCCAGAGAGTCTCTATATTCCTCCTAGAGGTCACTTATTGATTGATAAGGATGTGCAGGGACATCACAGTCGTCCTGCAGTTCCACAGATAGGACCCTGCACAGAGAAACACCTCCTTTTCTTACGTATTAGTTCTCTGTTTGCTTTCAAGGCAAGAGCTGGTCTCGACTTGCCCTTAGTCACTGCTCGTGTCTTGGCACTAGAACAGACTAAAAATGGACAATGTAAACGGATGACTATTAGCTCTGTCCCCACGCACCAAATCATCGGAGACATGTAAAAGTGCAAATATAACTTCACGGGGTTCATGTCTATGGAAAGTAGCTACTAGGTCTTTCAAAGGGGTTCGGGATCCTGCTCAGATCTATGCTGTGCCGAGAAAATGTTCCGAGTGATAAAATAGCTCGCTCGAGCCATAAGTAGAAGGATTCCAGATGAAAAGCTTTTACTTCAGATTCCCAGCTTCCATTTTCATGTTCACGTCTCTAAATCTCCGCTTTCATGTCTTACTGCATAAGAGAGAGAATTTCTGGACACGTACATAAAAGCAAAGTATGTGGAGGAAAACATAATAAAGAATCGCTTCGTACGCAGGCAAAATAGTCTCTGTTTTAAGATAAATAAGGATATACAAGTGCCCACTACTCTATCTGCTCTGTATAAACACATACAGCCGAGAGAATAATGGATATTAATAAGTGTGTGTACATATATACACACTCATATTCATATATTGTGATACACACAACTATACACATATGTGTGTGTCGTTGTGAGTCTCACATGTTAGTATGTGTATTCGTGTAAGTGTAGATAAATATATATACACAACTGTGATCTATACACACGAATGTATGTATTTATGTATTTGTGTCTATATCTATATCTATATCATCTATATCTATATATCTATGTTATTTGTAGGCATGTATTTGTGTGCACATATGCGACTATATCTGTATGTATATATGTATATAGGTATATATAGTATGTGTACACACAATATGATCTATACACATCAATGCATCTATAGATGTGTGTACGTGTATTTGTGTGTAAATATTCGACTATTTCTATATGTATATATGTTTATATGTGTACAGTTGTGAGATAATATATATACACTCATACACATGCATATGCGAGTGTGTGTATATATATAACCAATAATGATTTTACTATCCGATTGAGGTTTACTTCCCCAGCCTATTGTTTCAGACAACAGATATAAGTTGCGATGGAAGAGGAACGTCGGATTTGGTGTCTGTCCCCCATTTCCAATTATAGATGGATCATTACAGACAGAGAAGTACTGAGAATCCAGACATCTGCTCTTCACATGAATGCACTCACCTCCTAGAGAACAGACTGCCATCATGCTCTGGAAACTGGTTGAAAATGTCAAGTATGAAGATATCTATGAGGTGAGTATATAATATGCATGTATATGAGAGAGTATATGTATATTTAACTATACATCTACATGTTTATATGTACGTATATACAATCCATAGACAGTTAGATACGTACAGATAGACAGCTATATAGATACACACATATACATTCAGGAAATCCAGAGTAAATGTTCATATGCTTATTTATTTGCATTTTTTTTCATTCAGCTAGGCAAGCCCTTAACTTTTTTAAAGCTGTTTGATGAGATTTAAAACATTAAAGAAATGATCTGGGGGATTGGAATAAGGCAACTTAAACGCAAGAGTTTGATTTTTAGCTCTCAGATGAAACATAATTCGATTAAACGCGGACAAATGTCAAGGAAAAAAACTTAAGAAAGGAAACACCGTCCAGTAACCTTATGCTTGGATACATTTCTGGGGGTTTGATTTTTCGAGTTTCAGCCTCAGTCTCAAGGCAACCTAAGGTTGTTCTTTTTCTTCTTGTGCCTTCCTAAGATGCATCTGCATGATAATTTCACAAATACACTCAAATGTATACATACATCAGTACATATACAACTATAGTCAGAGGTAGCTACATAAATATAGTCAGAGAACAGTAAAAGTTTTATGGATTATTCAGGCTGCTTTGATTTTTGAAACTCAAAAGCAAAACATGTAAAACGTTTGCTAATTTTGCACTGCTTCATTACCTGGATTTTAAAACTGCTTCGTAAATGTGTTTCTTTTAAGTTAATCAGCAGCTACATTTTCGCAGAATGGAAAAAAGATGCGTAAAGAAAAGACGTTTGTTTTGTCTCGATCGCTCTCTTTTTGGGGGTTACTTTGAAAATGTGAGCAGCTCTTTTGCGAAGGAGATTTTAAGAACCCTTCAGTTTCATTACAGTGGGGTCTGTGGCGTTAACAGAACTGGTTCCAAACCGGAGGATACGGGACCGGCTTAATGGTTTTAGCCCTGTCTGTAAAGTCTCTATGGAGGGTTTGTCGGAGGAAAGGAGCCCTCTTCCCTGCAGTCGGTGGAGTGGATACCATATCCTGGTCCAAAGTCAGAGCCTTTAAGGACTTAATGTAGAAGGGAGTTAATATTTAATCCAGAGAGCTGAAGGGGAAAGAAAGAAAGAAAGAAAGAAAGAAAGAAAGAAAGAAAGAAAGAAAGAAAGAAAGAAAACAAACTTTTGAAAGGGCGTGAATTTTAGGAAGTATTTCATAATATTAAGTGATCCAGATGAAACGTACAAAGGTTAGGAAAGTGCTTCATGCCCGAGAGTAAAACCGTAGTGAATACGATTCAGTGTATGCTCCCTAACCAGTCCTATGATCCCGGGAATGCCTCAACTCTCAAAAGCTCCCGTCAGGCTAATTATCAACTGAACGCTTGCAAAATCCAGCATATGCAGAATTAGCAGCGGCGCACAGATACAATTCTCTCCCCTTCGGATAATACCTCAGCCCACTCCTGTATTTTCTCAAGTGCCTTCCTTTCCGACTCATTATTAATTGGAATGCCAGGATCACAATGCAGCCATCCCTAAGCAGAGATGTCACTGGACTCTCTTTTTAAAGAGGGCACTTTTAAGGCTGTTTTGCCTGCTTAAAATGTTATAATGTCTCCACGTAGGTTTGTGTGATCTTGCAAGCAGGGAATTCAGCAGGGGGTAGATTGTGCTTGTGTTTTGTCTTGAAAAAAATGATATAGTCTAACTTAGTGGTGCTTGGAAAGTGATTCTGTAATGTCTGGAGTTAACCAAAATAAAAAAAACCCCAAACCCCAACCCACTGTTTTCCCTAGGAATGCTGTGATAGATAGATAGATAGATAGATAGATAGATAGATAGATAGATAGATAGATAGATAGATAGATAATTTTAATCTTCCCATGGCTTTTAAAATCTCTCTCTCACACTCTCGCTCTCTCTCTCTCATTTATAATGCTCTGGTCTACAGAAACTCTAACTCCTTACTTTGACGTGTTCTTAAAACAAAAGTAGCAAACGAACTTGTTGTGAGAAGCGTGGGTCTCTTTAGGAAGGAAGGCGAGTTGAACTTTAACAGAAATGGCAGGCAGGCCAGTTGAACGAGTTCCTGAAACATCAAAAGGGTTTTAGATCGCCCCTGGCTTTGCCTAGAAACTATAAATTTAGTATCCTTTAAAATGCATTGCATAAATTTTACATCTGGGTGAAAACTGGGCGCATTTCTGGCATAGTTAGGGGGCAAATTAGCATGGAGAATTGAATGGCGCCCAACTTAACGCTGATTTGTTTGTACGTTTGCGATATTTTGCTTTTAATACCAATGCGATGTGTAATATTCAGTCAAAGGGCTTTAATTGCCGCTGCAAACAGACAAATTACAGCGGCTGCCTCCTTTATGTATTTATTTTTAAACGGGGACCAGGAACGCTCCCCCTCCCCCGTTATTTGTTTACGGAACATGTAGCTGGATGAACAAAAGCACCCAGGGCAATCCATTTCGCCTATTTGAATGCATAATTAAATGCAAAAGAAGGAAATATGATTTTTTTTCCCTCTTAGCCTCTAGCATTGCTCCATAGCATTTCCTTGCTCCAACCCAGCCAGTGTCTAGTTTACACTTCTTCCTCTGCCGGAGTTAATTGAACTTATGTCTTTTCCTCTCTAAACTTCTCTTACCCCCTCCCCTTCTCCGCACCTTCTCCCTCTCTCCCCCAGCTCGGCTTCTGCCAGCCCCCCTCGTCTGATTACATCTAGTAATTCTCCACTGAATGAACGTCATTTACAATGGTAGGGGAGCTCTCGCGCTGGCTGCTGGCTTCACGCTCCATTTGGCCCTGCATTCTCCCTTTAAAGTAGTCGTGTAATATTAATAGTCATGAATATCAATTATTACGAGGCGGTGTAGAGGAGGACAGGGAGGAAGGGGCATCGGAGCAGTCTCAGCCTAGCCTTGGGTGGAAGAGGATTGCATCTGGAAGCGCATGGGGGAGGAGGGGGGGCAAATAAATAAATAAATCACCCCAGAAAGAGGGGGGGAGGAGTTGGAATCATAGATGTCTGCCTAGGGTTCCAATATCAATTTTTGGAGGGGGGGGCGCACTGGCTAATTTTTTATTATTATTTTGGATGGCTAGACTTGGAAATACCTCGAGCTGTTCTCCTGTGTCCAACACGTCCCTTTGCCGAGCTCCTTGATTATTTTTTCCTCCTCTGATTACTATTATTATCATCGCCACTCTTTTATTTGTAGCTGTTACAAGACTTTTTTTTATTTCCAGATGTTAGTCCACACCTATTCCGCCATGGTGAGTTTGGATCCATGTTGTACCCGAATTGCATGCTCTCTCTCTCTCTCTCTCTCTCTCTCTCTCGCCTTTGGCTTGGTAATTTAGCACAATAATTGGAGGAGGCTTGCAGCTGCTTCTCCTTTTTGCATTGTGTGTTCTGGGTTTGAGCTGGGGGGGGAGGGAAAACTTTTTTTTTTTGCCATCGCTGGTGGGGATTTGGACACCACTTTGTGGAATAGATATTTGCTTGTTTACTCAACGAGGATGGCGTTAGACAAAACTCCTCTCCCACACTTTCTCTGAAGACTTTCGAATCCCTCTCCCTCCCCCCCAAAAAAACACAGCAAGACTTTTGATTATAATTTTAATGTCCCACTCCCCCTCCCTCTTTGGATGAAAATAATATTTGCAGATAGTTGGAAGTTGCTGCAGAAATCACAGAGGTTGGACTTCTTCGGGACTTATGTTTAATTTAAAAAATATATGTAGTTATTTATTTTTTAAAAAACCCACAGGGCTGACTTGACACGCACACCCATTTTCAAGTTATTTTCACCCTGTCCTTGGCATCCTACTATGACAACACTTCTTCTGACCTTGCAAGGCAGAATGAGTTGGTGACTTTTTTTTTTTTAGGAGTTGAGTGGTGAAGGGGAGTGAGTTTGAAAACTTTATACCCTGTGGTTTGGACGGGACTAGACAGCCAAAGAACGGATCAAAGCCCCACACACTGTACATACACAGAGAACACCACTGCTACATTTTTAATCAGGACATTTTAGGGTCTTTCTCTCCCCCTTCCTCGCCTGTTCTTGGAAACTCCACATGATCAGGACGGGCAAGGCTGGACTATTGCGAGTTCGAGGGATTTAAGGGGGTCGGTTTCAATGCATATTTTGTTTGCGCCTGTGGTGAGTGATTTGGTTTTTAATTTCCTCTTTATTTTTTCTTTCCTCTTTTTTTTATTCCTGTCCCATTTTTTTTTGTAGGACCGGCATGACGGAGTCCCCAGCCACAGCTCCAGGTTGTCTCAGCTGGGCTCTGTCTCCCAGGGACCCTACTCCAGCGCCCCACCGTTGTCTCACACCCCGTCCTCGGATTTCCAGCCGCCTTACTTCCCGCCCCCCTACCAGCCTCTTCCTTACCACCAAAGCCAGGACCCGTACTCCCATGTCAATGACCCTTACTCCCTGAACCCCTTGCATCAGCCCCAGCAGCACCCTTGGGGACAAAGGCAGAGGCAAGAGGTGGGATCAGAAGCCGGCTCACTCCTGCCACAGCCTCGGGCCGCTTTGCCTCAGCTCTCGGGACTGGACCCCAGGCGGGACTACCACTCAGTGAGGAGGCCAGATGTTCTTCTTCACTCGGCACATCATGGCCTGGATTCCGGCATGGGAGACAGCCTTTCTCTGCATGGCATCGGACACCCAGGAATGGAGGACGTGCAGGTAAGGCGAGCCTGCTCCTTCCCCCACTCCTGCCAGGGAGCCTGAAGAAACCTTAGCAGCTGAGAGACACATAGTCAACAATGATCAATTATGAATCATAGCAGTTAGAGAACGGAAAGTGCTACTGGGTTACCCTTCTGCAGGATTGTTCCCTACTTCTATTTTCCAATATTTTACCTAAAATAATATTTCTTTCTTTCTTTCTTTCCACCCCCCACACATACCCCATAATACATTAAAAATAAAAGCTAAAATAATGAGAAAGAAAGAAAGAAAGAAAGAAAGAAAGAAAGAAAGAAAGAAAGAAAGAAAGAAAGAAAGAAAGAAAGAAAGAAAGAAAGAAAGAAAAAGACTTTTCTGGGTAATCTAGGTATTTTGAAAAGGGATAAAGTTTATGCAAGCTGTTCTTATTTGTGATATTAAGTCATGTGAAAGTATAGGTCTCCTAACCAGGTTTTTGCAGTTTTGGATTTCAGTGAGATCTTTTAGAATGAGAATTTTTTTAAAAAAATGACAGTTAGGCAAAAGAAAAACCTTGTGTTTAGGCTCAAAGGTATATACAAGGATGGTAGAAAGCATTGGTTTTAAATGGGGTGTGTTTGTAAGTGTGTCAACAACCGATATCATTGTTCTGTTCCATCCTTTTTGAAACAATGGCGTTTCATGGTCTTTGAGGTACAATATATTCCCACTTCTCTCATTCCCCCAAGCCGAAGTCACCGCAGGCTATTTCCTTAAAACAAAAGCCCCACAACATTTTCACTCCAAATAGCTCGGCTCGGACCTTACTAGAATCCAGCTCCCACTGTCGGGGGACGCTTCGGCCCACATTTTACACGAGAGCGGATGGATGCTTTTGAAGGTGTTTGAAATGTTGGTGTGGCCGAGGCAGAGATTTAAAAGTGCTTTACAGGATTTTTAGAACCCGCGAGAAAGAAATCTGCACAAATTAGACTAAAGAACTCCCTAGTGAGCCATTGAAATACACGTGGCCCAGCCCCATTCGACACAAAAGCACCGAAGAACCAGGAGGAATTCTTTACCAGACAGAAGCTAAGAGGTATTATCGCTCCGCTTTCAGGATGCAAGACCGTTGGAAATAAAATCAGTGGAAGGAGAGAACTGTAAATAGGTTGCTTTGATTTGCTTGGATGTCGCTTTAAAGACTCGCAAGCCCCGAGCGTCAGTTTTTGCGACGATTACTAATATACAGAGGACCATGGAAAAGGCTTTCCTTGGTATTTGTCCTCTGTCTCCTTCAAGTCACTGGCAAATTGAGCGTTAATTTAAAACTTTGCCAGACCCAGGCGGACTCCCTGACCTACCCGACTCCCTGTTTATGGGGCTCATCTTACATTCCTTATCCATACAAACTGGGCAATGGCAGTTGTGCATGAGGAAGGACAACCGAATAAGAGTCCCCGCCTCTCTATATTTAAAGCTTCAGAGGGGTAGCTGAGTTAGTCTATAACAGGAAAAACCATGCTAACAAAACATGTAGATGGCATCATGAGCTTTCGTGTGCACAACCCACTTCTTCCAGTCATCTGAAGAAGTGGGTTGTGCCCACGAAAGCTCATGATACGCTCTACATGTTTTGTTAGTCTTTAAGGTGCTCCTAGACTATTTGTTGTTTTTAAGTTTTTCTCTATCTCTAGTACCATAAAATACAGACAATATGAGTGCACTGACATTTACAACCCCCACAAGAAAACTACCCAGATTACCTGGCTTGCTCGTTGCGCTTCTGATCTCGAATCGGGTGATAAGGTAGGTAGGGAATGGGAGCGGTTGGATTCAGATATATAAAGCAAAACGGATCCTTCTGTTAAACTTCCCTGCTCAGTCAATAAGGCGCAAGGTTGTGAATAAAAATAAGGCGTAAGTCGCATGGTCATTATCTTAACACATAATATATCCATAGCCTACAATGTGGAGAGGCTAGTGTGACTGAATTAATCAGCCTGATAGCTAACGTGGAAGGCGTTGTAAACCGGGTGTTTTAGTAAAGCAATCTCTGGAATTCTGTACACTATGTTTATACGAGATACTGCGCTGGGAGAAGAAGGCACGTACTTATTTGTAAAGGGTGGACCTTAAACTGGAAAAAAAAGTAGTCCAAGGGATAATTTATGAAGACGAAAGCTCTCATCCTCAAGTTAGTATAAGTAGTCACAGAGCTGGTGGTAGGGTTGTATTTATTGTCAGGCATTTTCTATTATTTTCCATGTGTGTTTGCGAGCCAGGTTAAGTTGGCGGTTGTAATTCGTAATATGGACTCTTTCTATGACAGATACAATTAAGAATCCTATCTAGCCGATAAATGTACTTACTTTCTATGCCTTCTGAGAAAAAAACTTTCCTTGAGGAATATTATTGAGAGGGGGTTTTCTCACAAAGTTTTACTTTTTGAGTAAAGTTTTTTAACACCATCTGATTACATAGATTTCATTAAGTGTGCGTTTGGCTGGCCGAAGGAGAGAAAGAGCGAGCGAGAGAGAGAGGGAAATGTGATATTATATAAACTCAATTCCAGGCCATGTGTAATCCATTGTCCAAAGGAACATCATTCAGTGGTTGTAATATCGGTTCTGTTACTATAAACCCTATGCTCTCCTTTGCGACAATGAGGTTTTCAAGCTGAGATTTACAACCGACAAAACATGCATAGAAAAAGTGCCTGCACCTTGAAAACAAATATGCATCCCCTAATAGAAAAATAATAAAAGAGCCATTACAACTTCATCCTTATTTGTTACTGATTAGGAGATCTGCACCTTTTATCTTTGATGGGAACTCGTGGATTGTGAGAGCCAAAGGTTCAGGGAAGAAACAACCTTCTCTCTCACTCTCTCTCTCTCTGATACTCACACAATCACACACACACATTTTACTTTGCAAAACAACTGACAAACTCTGCGGGTTTTATTTCAGTTAGATTATGTTACACCTGTGGAGTAAAGAGAAGATGTTTAGAACGGGCCAGTGCTATCAAGTTTATTTGCCAAAATCTACGTCCAGATTTGCTAAACTTATGTTAGAAACTCCCCATCTCCTCCCCCATTACAACCTCTATTCCTTTCCTTCCTCCACTGCACACCTCCCCCGGCCACATGCATACGCCCCCGCAATCACCTTCTGTGTATGCAAGCTAGGGAGGCTGAAAGTTAAGTTGCACCACAACACCCGAGTCTCTTATAAAGTAACCCCTGGTATCACTTTTAACTAAAGAAGTCTAGTAATTAAAAGTCTGAGTTGTTTTTCCACGTTTCCGCATGCAGTCCTAATTAAATCTTTACGATCCTCTCTGTGACTATTAACTGCCAGCATGCTGCGCGAATATCCTGTACAAAAACCCAGCAGGAGGGCGTAATTAGATAGAAAATCAGACAAGAGTCTTCTCATTAACTGCAACAACTAACCCACGTTGCTGATGAAGCGAGTGGCGTGCACACACATACATATATGTTTCCATACACACATGCAGACATTATCTGGATAAGGTGAGGTTAAAAAAAAAAAAGAAAGAAAGATGGCGCTTAATATTTGCCTCCATTTTTATGGCCTCTTGTTGCAAAAATGATGCTCTCCACCGGGCTGCACAATTTGTTCATCTTCCTCTGTCTCTTTAAAGACAGTATAAAAGCTACTAAAGGAGGGGGAGGAGAAGAATAGACCTTATAATTGTGTTTCATATTTGCCCTCTTATTTTCTTTGATACCCTTTAGGTATGTGGACTATTGATTAAGAGGGAGTAAAAAGACAAAAGGAAGGGGGGGGGGAGAAGGTGGAGAAGGGGGCAGTTGGAAGTCTGGGGTCAAGAGGGATGGGTGTGACCTATTCCGTCACACTTTGGATGTGCTGTTGGAAATATAATTTTCTCCTAACTCATTGTCCCTCATAGATGGAGGTCCCTCGAGAATAGACAGACATGTAGATAAGGACTTGGTTAGGATCCAGTAAGACACAATGTGGAAAGATGAAGTTAGACTAAGAGGGAAATTCAATGACTTAAAGATTCTTATTGAGTCTTTGGGAAAGAAAACAAAACCAAAACAAAGCCATCTATCTACTTATCTACCCCCGCAGTTTGGAACTGACCACAGAACGGAACCACTTATCGACAGCTATTAGAAACGGTTCTTTAGACACTTCTGTTCTCGGTTATGGTTGTTGTTGTCCACTTAAGAGGGATTCTGTACCAGGCTAGTTACATTACAGGAAATAAAACCTAACATTTGCCCTGCACAGAGTAACCATCTTGGTTTTCCTGCTTAAGAAGTTAATGCCATAATAACAGGTGTGCTTCTAACCAGGCTGAAAATAGACAGGTAGAGGGGAGAGATGACTTTTCTAGGCAATCGATTTAACAGCTTTTATATTTTGTGTCTGTGTAATTCCCTTCCCCCATCTCTCTCGCTCTCTTTCTTACACACACACGTATAACTTTGTAACCCAACAATGAAAGCTGTTAATGTCTTTCTATTTGTTTCCAATGTTATGTGGGTGTTGTATTCCAATCTGAATGACTCAAACTTCAATTAAAACTCTATAATGTAAAGCTTCCTATATAAAAAGTAGATGGTCCTTGAGTTATTATGATGCAGCAGGGTCAAAAATGTTTTTAAAACCTCTAAGTTGTCCTTAATTGTGTTCATTTATATATTGTATCTTGGATATGTTACCAAATTGCCAGAATTTCAAAGAAATATAAAGCTTTATTGAATGCAAAATAGACTATGTAATATCTATGTTTTATAAGATAACAAAAACACTATTGCACCCCATATGCTTCACACCTCTTTTTTTTTATTAGAAGACCATATAATTTAGAAGAATTTCATTTCCATGTCGATTTGGTGGAATAATAACAATAATAATAATAAACCTTTCTTCCCCTGGTGAATTAATATAAATGGAAATAACAGAAACTCCAGTTTGGAATGACATGATTTATGTAAGCCATTCTTTAATATCCAGTCAATTTGAATAGTGATGTTTTTATATTCACAGTCAGTTGAAGATGCCAATAACAGCGGCATGAACCTATTGGACCAGTCTGTCATTAAAAAAGGTATGGATTATTCCAACAAGCTCGACAAACTTTTACTGTGTAGCAATGTCTTTCTAATATGATTTTATTTTGAAGCAATTAGATTACTAGATAGATAGATAGGAAGGAAAAGAGGGAGAACAGAAAAGAGAAGCTAAAAGCAACGAGTATTTTCTTGTCTAGGAGTTAAATAATTACGTCTTATCTTAAATATTTCTTTTAATTTTGGCCAACTGATTTAAAATAAGTAAAGCACGTTTTGAATTTCCCAGTAATTCCTATTTTGTTATTGGTGTGAAAACGGCACCACAAATATACTTTAACTTTTCACCTCTAGTAGCTCTTGAACTGCTCTGGGTGACTCTTAGGAACCGTTTGATTCCATGTGTGGCTTTTATGCCTTTTTCCAGTCGTGCCAAATGTATTGGGAGAAAGAAACACATGCTTATGGAAATAGAACCTCCTCCTCCAACATGCCCATGTTAAAAATCATCCTGCATATGCATACATGATTTAGCGTAACTGCAGAATCACCCCATACTGGTAAAGAGAATGTGATATTAACAAATGTTTGCAGTCTTTTGTACAGCTGTAAGCAAAATAATTAACTAATTAAACTAATTAAATGTAATTACAATAACTCATTTTGGGCGTGTTGCAGCTGCTTCATTTTTCTACACTTCTCTGACAGTCACTTGAAGATGTATGGCGATTAGTATGTGTTATGCTGATCGACATTAAACAGCTCACACACTGCACAATTTGGGAGAGCTATCTTTAATTAGCCAAGGAATTTCTATTTCTAGATTCAGTTTTAAATACTAGAGTTGACGCCTAGCAATGCTGGCCCTTATGTTTACTATCAACAGCACTTATCTTCAGTGGCTTCTTCTTGTAATGCACATGAAAATTACCGATACTTTAATAGAGATCAGTTCCTAGAATATTAAGAACAGAACGCAAGGGTGTTAGAGGAATAAGAATTCAAGGCAGGGTGACGGTTTGGGGGGGAGGTTGTTTCCTTTAAAATGGTAATTATGTAAATTGGAGCGATCATAACTTTGGAGGAGGGTGGAGGGAAACCCGAAGCTCTTGTGACAACATAATGTAGAGGTCTTAAGAAAAATAATTGTGCTGCTCTTTTATGTAACCACTTCAGTTTGCGTGTCTATGTGTTTAGGTGTCTAACATATGGGTTTGCGAATGTATTCTCTCTGTGTGTTTCCTCTGGGGTCTTCTTGATTAATTGGTGGTTGATTTGTGACGGAGGGCCCTCTTTTTAACGTTGATCTATCTGCCTTCGTGTTTCCGTTGTCTCGTACCCACATCCTCCGTGTAGTTATGTGCAGAACACTCTCGTGTGTTGTATATGACCACTTCGTTAAAACAGGGTGTGTGTTTTCTTAATGAAAAGGGTAGCGGGAATATTTGTTTTCAATGCGCACTGATTGTGGCTCGAAAGGTAGTGTCAGACAGTTAAGCAAGTCTCATAATGTGTACAGTTATGTTAAATACATGGAGGGAAAGCGAGAGAGATGCTGGTGATTCCAGTGTGTATGTGAATGCGTGGACACATCTGAATATACCCACCCCCACAAGAGTATTCTTAACCTACTATCTTTAGCAGAAGCTCCGTAGAATTATAACCTCCATATTTAAAGCACCTATACGCGCTTTTAAAATCATATCCGTAAAAAGATACCGACATTCTCTCGTACATGGCTTAAAAGGCAGAGGCATATTATAGAGACACCTGGGGTCACATCTGGGGCTGACAATATGAGATCAGACCGACAGAAGGTGCAAACTAGAAAGGGTGTGGGATTGAATGTGGTGGTGGTCTCAACACTATCCAGCCATAGCAGAGTCCTTTGAAATAAGAATAAGTTATTAAAGATCCGCACATCATTCTTGCTGGCAGATGTTAGTTGGATAGATAGATAGATGGTGGGTGGGTGGGTGAGTGTGTGGAGAGGGAGGGGGGATAGATAGAGAGTCTTGGGTATTTCCTATAAAGTACACTTAACGATAAATGAAATCTAGACAAGAGGAGGCAGAGGGATTTGCCTGTTTCAGAAGAGCTTAGTTTACTGTTTAAAACGTTCCCGTAAAAATACAGTGTCAAGGAGAAGATCTAGAACTAAATTCTTAACCCAAACATTTCATCCATCCTCTCGGATGTGAGCGCGTACATTGTTCTGATCTTTGGGCAGTCATGAGGATCATCGATCGGTCTGTTCCAAAAAGCTCGCCTAAAATCTGAAGAAGCCCTTGTAAAATGAATTTCCTCCTCCTCTTGCACTGTTTAGTTTATCAGCCGCGTTGATCCCATACAATGGATTATGCGCTCACCCTCTCGTTATGTTTGCTATCTGGTCTGTCTTGACATTTCTGAAGTAATTTAGTTAAGAGGAAATGAGTTGTTCCCAGTAGAGAGAGCAAACGAGTGGAGTGAAGGTAGCCAGCGTGATAAATGGCTCTTTCATTTGGAGATCTCCAGAGCTCGTTTAAGGCTAATTTTCTGTATTAGCCCCCTTTGAGCTATTAATGCAATAGGCAGGGACCGCGGCCTCTCGTCTCTTAGCTGCCCCATTAGAGAGCGCATTAAGTTGCCAAGCTCGTGTGGGGAGGGGAGGGGAGGAGGTACTAGGAGTGGTGGCGAAATAATGAAAGGTGCTTTTTAAACTCCCCTAATCTAAACTGGCAGAGGGTGGCTAATACGATTTGAAGGGGTCTGGTCAATGAGCAATCAATAAAGTAATAATGAGAAGGATGCGGTACATTAACAGTCTAAAAATCCAACGAGACATTAAAAAATCATTCTTAACTCAGTTCCATTAAGATTGGCGTGGTGGAGAGGAAAGAGAGGAAGTCTAGAAAAAATGATCATCAAGAATATTAATTCTGGGTTTATCTCCGCTTTACAGATCAGTGACAGATTCTTTGTTTTTAGTCTCACTTTCCCTGACACCCAGGTTCCTGCTAAAATCAAGGGGAGTTTTTGGTGTGTACAGAAGGCAGCATCGGTTCCCCTTATCAGCAGCTCATCTGTTGTTTGTTTGGCGTGATCAATGACAAAATAAGTTGTCCCCTTTCAAAATCTTGCGTGGCCTGAGTCCAAAGTTCAATTTTTGTGACTTTGGGGCATAGCCAGTGACCTTAAAAGTACCCTGATGTGTTTACGTTTAGACTATTTCTGTAAATTGGCTACACACACACACACACACACACTTTGAAAAAAGTCACTCTCTCAATAGAGCAGAATAAGGTTGTGGGGTTTTTTTTCTTCTGCTTCCTGAACCGGCCATCAATAAATGATTGACTAAACAACACGATATCTGGTTACAGCTTTTCATGCGATGGGAGTGGTGAACCGGTTGAAATGTAACTTACAAAATTTGCCTAGATTCGTTTGTTTGTTGGTTGGTTCTTTTCCTGGCACACTCCGTGTATTTTATTGTTACGTTTACTTTAATGGAACACAATGGCAGGGTAAATAGATTTCCCTCTTAAATTAACTCCCAGCTTCAAATGCGAGGAGAGGTCGAGGAATAAGAACTCTTGCGAACAGCTCATGAACCCACGATAGATTGATTTTTGAAATAAGGATCGAGTTTTAGTGGCAGGGGTAGTCTATTTTCTCGGGTTTCTAGGTTTCCCTACCAAGCCAAGCCCAGTCACTGACTGCTATGATGGACATAAAATTATCTGTCTAATGAAGGCTACTTCTAAATTCAGTTAATACTTACGAAGATTGGTAGAGGAAAGTTTGATATGATACCATTAGTTTCTGTCCAGCCCAGATGGTTAACACTATTTCTTTAAAAGGTGGGTTTGTCTTGTAGGATTGTGTGAATGCTGGAGTGATGATGAATACGTAAATACTATTTATTTATTATTTGTGTGTGTGTGTGTGTGTGTGTGTGTGTAAGTAAGAGAGAGTGTGAGGGAGACTACTTCTTCGGCATCGCCTCGCAGTTGTGTAGAGCAACCCAACAGAGAAACGAAGAAAGACTAAGCCTTAATGTATGCACAGAAAATAGTAAACATGTAAAGAACTGAAAGCTTCACGCTGAGTTTTGCCATGCTCCATTTCCTTACCATTTCCTGCTGTCGTTTTAAAGAGTTCTCACTCATCTAGTGATTCCGTTTGCAGGAACAGTATGCTCATAATTACTAACAAATCAAGCGGCTACTGTTGCTCTCTCGGTTTATTGATAAGCTGAAGAGGAATGGGAGGGGAAATGACAAAAAGGTCGAAAGGACCAGAGGAATGAGTTCCCCTCCCCCCGAAAGGTAGTCGGGAGGTATTAGGTGGGGATAGGAAAGGAGAGGTACACAAAAGAATCTTGGATTAAACTATTTTGTGAAAGTGACAAGATCCGCATATATTAGACAAAATAACACATGGATGAAGTAAGCAGAAACCGTGTGTATGTGTGTGTTCTTCTATGGCCAATTATGACGCATAAAAGCAGATTTGCAAAGTAGATGGGGTAGGTAAAATAGGCTACGAAATACAGTGTTTAATTGTCTAAATTAACCTTTTTAGCATATATTTTACCCACACACGTTCAGCCTCTAAAATCTCAAAATAGTGTTATCTCCGGTATTAATTCTATTATCTGTAATAATATAGGTCAATAATTCACTCTATAGCAAACTCACTTATTTTGGAAGTGGTAGGTAATTTACAAAAGATACCGTACAGATTAGAATGCCTGTGTCTGAAGCTATGAAATTGCAATAGATGTGCTTGTGTAGGCTTGCCAGACTCCTGAATGTGTTGAGAATTATTAGACTCAAGTGATCTTGATCTATAACCAGTCCTCTTTTTGTATAGATACTGTACAGAACAACTGCTGACGTTTGAAAAGCATAGCGGGAGGACTAACTCGCTTAAATTTGCATGAAAATATATACCAAACCTGCAAAATCCTTATTTCAAAGGTTAACTAATGTAATACATGCTCCAAAAGGGGCAAAGCAAATGCGGTGAGATATATTTAAACATAGGCATGTGTATAGCTCTCCCTATTGTGAGTTTAGACTAAGATCAAATTTTCTTAGTGCTGTTGTGTCTTGTTTAATTTCTCAGTTCACTGGACAGTGACCTGATAAACGAGTCACTAAATATAGGTGTCGTAAAGGTGTTTCAAAACCTTTGTGTGTGTTTGTTGGCTTGGAGAAAATTGCCACGTGAAATGACCTCAGTTGTTAGTGGGTTCTTTAACAGATTAGCCATTTCGCAGCGTGCGTAAATTCATGTCTTTTCAAAACAACTCGATTTTTTGGTCTTAATGGGGCCGGCTGAGTCACTCTGCAAACATATTATTGAAAAATATAGCGGGTGTGTGTAACATATCCCCTTAAAGCGCCCTAAAACCCAAGGATCGGACTGATCTATGAAATCAACGACAGCATTCCTATTAATAGTCTCTTCCCCTCTTTTGTAACTGTATTGGGGCCAATTTCAAGTTGGGCCAGAATGAAGAAGCTGGAAACGTCCTTTATAAGTGGTATACATTGTCCTACTAAAAATAATAGAGAAATGACAGTCCGTGTCCGTGTCCCTCTCAGTAAAGCCACTCAATATAATTTGTTTGCATGGGAGGCTATTTACAGTCTGTAGGAAGCAATATGTATACACGATGTCTACATGCGTTTTGGGTTTTCGCTGTAATCGAGCTTTTATTGTGGGAGTCTGGTCTGGCGGTAGGAAATTATAATAAAAACAGCGAAACACTGTTGTGTCTATTCCATACATCGAGGTGATAAAATTGGCAGCTGCCCAGTTGTTAGCACTTGTTAACGTATTAGGCTCCTCGATCCTTTTCTTTAGCAGCCCCAAACGACTTGAATGTTCCCCCAACTCCACTGCTTTGAATCTCCAGACATGTTGCAAATAAATAGGGTTTTATGATCTAACTGACATGCATTAGAGGCGCCTAAATAACTGGCATATTTGTGTAGGAGAACCTATTACTTGCAAAATTGGTTTTGCAATTGATTGACTGGCAAAGCGATATTGCAAAGGAGAATCTGCTGTGCAGGGGGTGTGTAATCAATTAGTCTTCTCTGTAAAATATGCCCCCTAGACTCCCACCAGCAAATCTAGAATTTAGGAATACACGCTCTATAAGGAAATGAGGCTGCAGTGACTCCAAAAGGAAGCAGCAGTAGCAGCTGCCAGCTCTTATTAACTCCTGCATAAAACATACCTTAAGTATGGTTTGTTATCAATTACTTGCAGAAATGAAACAACTGGGAGAAGGCAGCGGCGCTGTCTATAAATTAAAGTGATTGGTTGATTGATTAGCGCACCTGCTGTAAATCATAATAGTTACCCACAATTATGAACAAGCTAGTCATGTTGATTTGTAAACAAAATTCATATCAGAAGGAAATTGCTTTCATTTTTAATTTAGTAAAAAAGTGTTAGAGCTTAATTATGTCTGTTTGGTGGTGTACATATTAGAATGTTATCTTCCTTTTGGTATTCCTAAAAGCAATCTTATTTGTATCTGATAGAAATTAAGTAATTTGTCTGGTATTAGTTTGGAGAGGGGGCAAGGGGATTTTTTAAAGAACATCTTAGTATTTTTGTTGCGGTAATCAGACCAGCTTTGTTTAGAAACTGAATATTGCCAATTTTTCTGTTAGTCATATGCTAATTGATGCGATACCGGATTATTTTCTAATATACCTTTTGAGAAGAAAAAAAAGTCCTAGTGTCTTAAGAAAAGTCCCAAACAATAATACAGTAATCCTCTCCTTGTTAAATTCTGTAAGTCCCGATTTTCATCTAAACTGGCAATCTCTTTAACTTTAGTAGATGTATTCCTAGAAGTTATCATTGCTGTAGTAGTAGAAGAGAATTAATATTCTTGTAACACAGTAATAGTGTGGCAAGCGCTGAAGATACAGCTCCTGCATCAAATAAATAACGTAGGGAGAAACACACTTAAAGTACACTTATAATATACGAAAACCATTTTTTCTCTCTAATCGTCAAACCAATGCACACTAGCTGTACTCCGATGCACCTCTACTTATCCATTATCACCCCAGGCCAATTTCCTGTGGACTCAAAGGTGGCTTTTCTTGTTGGTATAGCTACTAAGAAACTCAAGACCTATGCATTCACTTTTCTTCTGCCAGGCGATGGCTGTCAGACTAGCCAGTTGGTACTCTTATGTGTCATCTTGCTATACACCTCCCCTCACCCCTTTTGTCTCTCTCCAGTTCCGGTTCCTCCAAAATCAGTTACTTCTCTGATGATGAATAAAGATGGCTTCCTGGGTGGAATGTCAGTCAATACCGGAGAGGTGTTTTGCTCAGTACCTGGCCGCTTGTCCTTGCTCAGTTCCACTTCAAAGTATAAAGTAACGGTGGGAGAAGTTCAAAGACGCCTTTCTCCTCCAGAGTGTCTGAATGCATCTCTCCTAGGAGGAGTACTTAGAAGGTAAGGACTTGCAGCAAGTCTGTGTATTTATATAGACACACACACACACAGACTAAGCATTTTGTCTAAAGTCTATCCTATGGTACAGGCATTTGCATATATGATCTGTTGTTATTTTTCGTGGTGTGTGTAGCACGCAAGGCACAAATAAGCAGCAGCGTGAAAACATGGAAATTAATGTACAACGTTAATTCATGGTTTTCTCAGTGTACAAGACTATGCTAAGGCAGCTCATCTTAAAATCTATAACGCATGGGCACACACACTTTCTACCCAGCCCTCTCTACCTCTCCCCTACACACATTCACCTACTCAACACATATTTTAGAGGAAGGTTTCTATAAATAAAAGGTCCTCCCTATGAATGCTGGAATATAGGTAAGGAAGCTCAACTGAAGCAACAAACACAAATTGCTATTCACATACTTATTTAGGAAGTTTTAAGAAGTTTTATAAGTGCTTGACGAGTAAATATCAGAAACAGAGCACTCTTGACAACAGCAAGCTTTGGTTTAAAAAGACATCATACAAGAATATAGCAATTAGATATTTCTGTTAAAAATGGGTGTCACTCCATCCCAGAGTCAGCAGCATTACAAAGTCTCGAATATGTCCTTTCTAGCGTGTGTGTAACAATTAGCAGATGACAGATTAATCCTTTATTTCCTCTTGTGTGTGACCGATTCCACTGGGAAGCCCTTGAAGGATTACCAAAGCGTTATTTGGTGATACTTATCCAGAAATGTGTGATATTTAGTTACAGGTTTTATCCCAACACTTTGTAATGACAAACATGTCCATAATAGATACATAAAATCTCCATTTTAACCGTAATTTCCAACATTTAATCCCAACACACACACATACACATCTATCTACCCGGGTAGTTTTATTTATTTTATCGTGATATAGACAGAGGTTGCAGGTCCTCTTTGCCCTTTCTCTGCGATGGCTTGTTTGCCCATGTTCTTCTCCCAGGGTGCCAGATATGGACATATTGTAGTTAGGAAAGAAGAAGCCCGATTTTTTACTGACAGACTTTAATCCGCCTACTATGTATTGTATTAGAAAGTGGAGCAAGGAGTATCTGCAAGAGAGATTTTAAACAGACAACATAAGTTATGAAGAACACTCTCCCACCCCCCATCACTGAGCCTCAGTGATTTCTGGAGAAGCCCCAAACAGTGGACCCCTGCTGATTTTCTTTTGCATCTTGAGTTTGAATTTTAGAGAAGTTTTTTATTACATAACCATATTTCTGAGGATGTGAAAAACAGGTGGCTTCTGCCTTACCACTGTACCATTGGTTCCTATCTACTTTGACATAAAATTCTGAGAGATCAGAGTGTAGGAGAGGAGACTTTCTCTGCAGGATTTTGATTTCCTTTCATATTCCGTATATTCCATTTAAAAAAAACCCAACCTGTTCGCCATACAAGATTTGGGGAGAAATCCTGCTGGGTCAATGGGAAAACTGCCTTTGATTTCCATGGAGCTAGGATGTTATCCCCGGATTCTATGTGAACTGCAAAACTATACCTGGTCCTAATATAGCTCTGCATTTCCCAGGTATGTTTCAGTCTTTTTAATGTTCCTGTTAATAATCATACATATATAGATTCCATTAGGTTTTCTTATCACTATATAGCCATGACCCATATATAATGTAGGGGAGAGGTCCAGTAGAGAGGTCAGCATTTCTAAATTGTGTATATTTCTTCCTTTAGGTGTTCTTATAATTTCCTATGTCTCTTCCATGCTTTCTTTAGGTGCCCTCCCACCCTGTCAGTTCATCCCATACTTCTACCTTTCCACCTAGATATATAATCTTATCCTAATACCCCGGAGCCTTACACTCTAGGAACCAGTTTGGTTTCTTCGGTCACAGCAGCTTGCCGAGTAATTATTTCGTTCTATGAATTTGTTTTCCGCAAGTTAAAGAGGGAGGGGGGAACCTGGTTGGTTGTGTGTGGCAAAAATTAAGCAAACCTCAGCAAACTGTAACAGCAAGCACACAATGTGCTAACCTCAAGTTAAAACCCCGTCAAGCTCCAGTGATCCTTAGATTGCGCAGCCTAAAAGTTTGTTTCAGGGACATTCCGAGGTTAATCAGAATGTTAATTTCTTTGCAATTCCAGAGCCAAATCGAAAAATGGGGGGAGATCGTTGAGAGAGAGGCTAGAAAAAATCGGTTTGAATTTACCAGCCGGCAGGCGTAAGGCTGCAAATGTCACTTTACTCACCTCCCTGGTGGAAGGTAAGCGCTGAATTGCAAACTTGCTTCACACCATTGACTGCTCCGACCTCTTTTCGGTGTGGGGAGTTTGGCATTTTGCAAAATTTCATGGATTAGGGAGCAACTGTTGCAGCGGTGGCATTAAGACCTGTTTAACATGCATAATACGGGGAGTAATTAAGGGCCCCATTTAAAGCACGCTGAATTCACTGATCAAACTCCCATTGACTCCAGTAATGACCTCTGTAGAATCGAACTGTCGCTGCAGTTATCCAAATATTCTAGTCCCCTTGAGTTGTGGATTTCCAGGCGGTTCCCTTTGAATAATAGTCAAGTCTGTGCTGAGTCTAGGTCTTTGGCTAATTCATTACTTCCAACTTAATTATGACAGATGCACATTGCAATCCGGCCATTGAACGAAAACAATAAAGAACTCAATTATTTTTATTTCAGCAAAGGAAAGAAGTTGTTGAAAATTCACAGTTATAAGTAGAGTTTTCCTGAGAGTGATGGTTAGAGTTTAAATTTAACAAAGAAACAAGCAAGCTCTTTTTTAAGAAGTGGAGGGGCGGGGAAAGAAAGAAAGAAAGAAAGAAAGAAAGAAAGAAAGAAAGAAAGAAAGAAAGAAAGAAAGAAAGAAAAGATTTTTAAAATGGAACACTGAGTTATATCTCATCTGAAATGAACAAGTGCTATTTTATACTTGATGTGATGCTTTGACTTGTTGGTACAGTATGGAAACGTGGAATTCACTGACTCTAATTTGTTTTTTTAAAAACATATATATTAGATATTCTGGGGCAAATGATAACTAATGTGTTGTGGCTATAATTACGAATTTTATTATTTATACATACACAAAGATGGAGTAACATTAAATATGCACAATAACACACTGCCGTATATCAGATCCATGTGCATATAGATTTGTATTGTTAACTTTTACTCCTGATTTAATTATAAATCTAATCTATAGTTACACATTCAGGTGTGAAACGAAAATCTAGACTCTATTTTGAGACAGATAATAACTCTTTCATTCTAGTTATGTTTCTCTTTTGGTAATACAGTATATCTATATAGTCATAAGCTTCAGGGGGTAGCCGAGTTAGTCTGTACAGGATAAAGTTAAAAAACAACAACATGCTCTGGTAGCACATATATAAAGTGCTACTAGAGCCTTTGTTGTTTTTTAAGTTTATATAGTTATAATTCGTGGTAAATTACATGGAAATGCGTATCTAACTATTAATGAACAGTTAAAGACACATTTACATTGTGTGAAAATACACTGTCTGATATTCATATAGATTAATACCTAGTTTTACATACATATCCCAAGTACAAACTACACTTGTGTACATACAGTGTGTGTAACACTATGCATTCACATTAATAGCAAAATCAGAAGAAGTTGGCCCTATAGCGTAAATGTATGTGCACATCCCTAAATACATACATACACGCACAGTATGATACATAAACTATACAAAGTGTATATCATACCATGTGATGGTGGTACTGTTCTATGATTTACTTACAAACCAATACTATACCTTACAAAGATTTCCCTTCTTATATAGGAAGTTGCACCGGCTCTCGACTGATCTTCTTGTCTGCCGCTAAAGATTTTTTTTTCTTGTTAATTTATATTGCCTATAGCATAAATGTTTCACTCATCTCTGACCAGGATTAACAAAAAGCAATGAGGGTGTTGACTCTGCACATAATTTGAGGGGCGGTGGCAGGGGGGAGGGGAGAGTAGGGAAGGGAAGGGGGAGGGGAATAACCATCCGGTGAAATTCTAGTATTTGGCCGGCAATATGATTAATCTTTTTGGTGAACAATGAGAAACTTTTCTTTTTAAAAAATGGCATTTTAAAGTAAGCTCCGATCGTTAAAACGAATTTGGCACTAGAATGATTAAGCATAGCTAGGTTAGGTGTTGGAAATCTTCCTCCTGGTCCTCCGGGCTGTGCTTTAAAGAGTTCAATGCTTTATTCTAGAGGGGGTGAGCCATAATCGGATGGAATCCCCCTAGAGTCTGTTTTCCCCTTTTTCTTCAGCTACGGTGTCTTCTTCTTGTGATAGAAAGCACATCAGTAGGAGTTTGATGACATGAACCTCTGGAGGGTAGAAACCTGAAACCAGGCAGAGGAAATGACAATTAGAATTATTGCTAGAATAATAATTATTCTTCACGTGAAAGGTGCTCATTCCTTGGGAATTTTTTTGTAATAGGGTGAGGATAGAATGGGTAGATTCTATCGCAATGTGATCAGCTCTATGCCGCAAAACTGCACTTCCCATTGGATACAATATACTGGGCTGCTTTGATTTCCAGATGTGGCTATAATGGTGCGTGTACAATATACACACAGACAAACGGGGTATGATGCTTTGTGGTATGGCTCTTGGGCCATTTTTCTTGCATATTAAAATACAAACCTACTCTGCACATTTAAAGTCTGGGTCTTTTTACTTCTCAGGGCAGCTCTTTTGTTTTTCACACACTTGAAAGTCTGCATGACCTATTTCTTGGTAATGAAGGTGTTCCTAGTCCCTGTTTGCCAGAAGCTGGGGAATAGGTGACAGCCCATGTGGGCTACCTGTTCTGCCCTTCTCTCTGGGGCACCTGGCATTGGTCACTGTAGAAAGGAAGGATATTGAGCTAGATGGACCTTTGGTCTGACCCAGTCTGGCCAAGATCTTTTCCAAGCCAGCACCACCAGCAATACGGTGCTTGCACAGATTCTTTACGTAGCCTCCTTGCTACACAACCTTGCTAATCCAAGGCGCTCTCTCGCCAGGGGAAGCGGTTCACTTAGCTCGGGATTTTGGATACATCTGTGAAACGGAGTTTCCAGCCAAAGCTGTTTCCGAGTACCTGAACCGACAGCACACGGACCCCAGCGATCTCCACTCCAGAAAGAACATGCTGCTTGCTACAAAGTGAGTAGGACCCGCCCTCAGCCGGCTTGAAATTCATTTCGCCTCCTCCTGTTTTTTTGCAAAGGGGGCCAGCAGAGCCTTCTCGGGGGTTTTCTTCTTTTCTCCCTCCCCCTTGTGCTCTGCTGTCCCCCCCCCCAGTGCGGAGGGAGTGGTTGGGCTCTGAGTGGGTGAGCCTGGCAGCGTGGCTAATTGGACAGCGGAACGCTGCGGGGGTGTGCTCGGCGCTGCAGCGGTAACAACCCGGGTTCGTAGCAATGTGCGTATGAAACGCGGAGGGGGGGGGGTGACTTTTTCCCGCTGTGTGAGCGTGCACGTGTCCCTGTGTTTGTCTCTCTCTCCCCCTCCCCCTTTCCAGCCTCTGTGTTTCTTTGCTAGTGAATGAGTTTGCATCTCTCTCTCTCTTTCTGTGCGTCTTTCCTCCGGGCATGGCTCTTGTTTGGTTTGGGGGTGTGCACGGGGAGTGTGGGTAGGCTTTGACTCCACTCCCAACTGAAGCCAAACTAAGAGAAACTCAGCAGCCTTCTCTGTCAAACACCCTGAGCAAATTGATTTACACTCTCCCCTCTCCAAAATGTTTACCATTAATCACCTGTAGACTCGAGAAATTTGCAGCGGCCGTTCCGGGGGAGGGGGCAGGCTTGTAAATCTGCCAGTCCCGTGCTGCATTGTTGGGTGTTTTTAGGCTAGCCCGGGATTTTGATGAGGAACTTTCGGTGTATCCCCCTGTTCTGGCTCGCAGGCAAGACCCAAACAGGGCTCATTTATTTCGGCTCCGGTTTGCTCCGTTGACAGCGTAATTTAAAGAAATATATTGAGGCTTGGAAAAAATCGTTTGCTCAAATTTGTCCAGATGTTTTTTTTAGACGTGATTGGAATTTGATTGCCCTTTTCCGCAGGGTCAAAAGATATTAATGTCCCAGAACTTTAATTGCTCACAGACCCTGCCTTGCTCTTTGAAGATATAAAAGGGCTGGCTCATTACTGTTTGTTCTCCAAACGCAGTTTCCTCTTTTGCACTTTCTTAATGGATAAGACAGAGAGAGTTAAACCTTAATTGTTCGCCTCCCTCTGAAATCTTTCACCCATGGGACTGTCAGAAGATCCTAGATGAACGTTTCTCTTCTAGGGGGATTGTGCAGACGCCTAGTCAGTGTCCCTGTTATTTGGAAGGAAATATAATTTCCCCTCTGGGTTTCTATTTTGCCTTGTGACGATGCACCTGTTGAACTGAAGATCTTGGGGATGGGGTGAAAGGAGGTTTAACAATAGGAAGTGACCAAATGAAGAGGGAAGGATTCAATTTTCCTCCCCCAAGGTAGCAAACGAGCTGTTATAAACAAGAACCAAATGTCAGACCCGCTGCTTTGAATCAGGCGTTCCCCCAAAGGGTGGGTTTTTTAAAAATTCAGGCAAGAATAGAGCAGCAGCCGGTCAAAGTCATGGGCAAAGGCTTCCTCTCGGTGGGGAGACCTTTGTGGCTTAGGTCTGACACCCCCCCCGCTTCGCTGTACCAGGTGGACTGCGTCTGCTGGGTACTCCCCCTTTTCGCTTGTGGAGCTTGCTGTCTTGTACGGCGACTTGCTCTCCCCTGTAGGGCTTGGGAGCTGTGAAAGGCCGATGCTCCGCGGGTGGGATGGGAAGAGCAGCGCCCCAGATGCCAGGAGGGGCAGCAAGGTGCGGCGAGACGCGGGGTCAAAGGGAACTGAGTCAGATGATCAGGGGGTCTCCCCTCCCCCCTCCATGGTATTCTACCAACTAGCCCCTCTCGGCACCGCATCTGCTCCAAGCTGCCCGTTTGACAGACGCCTCTGTAGCCTCTGACGGAATGTGAGGCCAGGCCCAGTTTCCAAAGTGATTTGGGGGAGTCTGAGGTTTGAACTTTGCTCGCCTTGAGACGCCATCAGAGGGGCTGGGTGTCCACTCCAGAAGGTGGCTGCTCCGGACACTCTGCAAACAGGGGTACCCAGACTCTCCGGTCACCTTGGCAACTCTTGGTTTATATCATTGACACATTTCCCCCCCCCTCCTCCCCCCAGCTTCCTGGAAGAGTTCATTCAGGACCTGCCTACATCTGCCATTCAGCAAGGCTACGCAGCAGTCACCCCAATGGGTCATTTACAGGCTGTGGGTGGCAGAGTCTGCACAGGAAGGCCGGGTTCTATTCATCTCTGAGGAACCACATCAGGGCTGGGGAACTAAGGCCGGCTTGCCTGGATTCGGCCTCTGAGGCTCCGGGCTCCCCCGCCCAGCACTGGGGAGCCGTGCAGACACTCCAGCGCCCCCCCCCATAACCTCTGTGAGGCTGGAGCACAAACAATCTACTAGCCCCTTTCCCCCACCCCCACCCCGTGTGTGAAGGGAGTGTCTCAGCTGGGGGCCACGTCAGGGAGAGGGGGTGGTTGTTTTGTTTCTCACTTGTGTGTCGCCCCCGACTGATTTTTTTTTCTGTGGGACAGCAGCCTCCGAGCCCCCCAAAAGTTCTCACTCCTAAATAAAAAAACTAACAAATAATGCCAGGATAAATCTTTCTTTCTTTCTTTCTTTCTTTCTTTCTTTCTTTCTTTCAGAAAGAATCTGGCTACTTCTAAAGATGATACCCAGACTAAATAATACATTTCCCCCCCCCAAAAAAAAGGATAAATGGCATTTCAGAAGCATCTTTCTGGTCCTAGAATACAAATTCTCTAGGTCAGGGGAGAAGGGGTGTGCTTCAGAGATTAGGATGAACTCTACTAGGAATGCTTCTTCCCTCCGCTAATCAAACCCTCTAAGGAAGTAGTCAGGCCAGGGCCTACTCTTGCAGCCCTCCTGCTCCTTTGGACAACGGGGAGTTGTGTCTGGGGAAGGAGTACAGCATCAGGTCACAAAATCAGCATCCTTCCCGTTGTTGTTGGAGGGAATGTGTGTGGGAATAAAGAGGCTTTTGTTGTGTATCCAGCTTCATTGCCGAGTGTCTGTGTTGCCCTTGTTTGAGTCATTAGTTTCAATATGCTTTGGACCAGGCCCTCAGCCTCCTTGCACCTTAGTTTACTGATGTGTAAAATGAGGATAATAGATTTTCCGTGTGTGTGTGTGTGTGTGTGTGTGTGTGTGTGTGTGCGCGCGCGCCCGCACGCTTAGGTGGGGTTGAAGCTTGGAGGAAGAAGGGATGAGAGGTGGCTCCCTGTCTTTGTTACTTAATACATGCCAAACCCCTTGGAAGTCTCTGGGGTTATGTCTACACTGCACATCTCTGGTATCCCAAAATAGCTGCCCTTCATCTACACAAGCTGCCCATTATTTTGAAATATTTTTTGAAATAACGAGTGTGCTATTTCACCATCCTGGTAAATCTCATTGCACGAGGGTTAAGGGATGACTTGAAATAATACGTTATTTCAAAATTTGGTGCTATGTAGACATGCCAAATTTCAAAATAAGCTAGTTTGAGTGTAGGGTGCTGTGTAGACGCACTCAGGCTGTGAACAAAGTACTAGCCATTGTGAAGTGACTCTGACCATGCTGGGAATTTCTCTCCTCTTCTCTTCTCTCCCCTTGCAGGCAACTTTGTAAAGAATTCACAGATCTCTTGGCCCAGGACAGGACGCCCATTGGCAACAGCAGGCCCAGCCCCATTTTGGAACCAGGCATTCAGAGCTGCTTGACTCACTTCAGCCTCATCACCCATGGCTTTGGGGCCCCAGCCATCTGTGCTGCCCTCACAGCCCTCCAGAACTACCTGACTGAAGCTCTCAAAGGCATGGACAAGATGTTCTTGAACAACAACACCGCTAACAGGCACACATCTGGGGAAGGACCAGGTAGTAAAACTGGAGACAAGGAAGAGAAACACAGAAAATGAAAAAAATAAAAGCAGAAAAAATTAATAAATAAAAGAGAGAGAGAATCTTTTAAAACAAAACCGTTTTAATTTTAGCTTTAAAATATTGGATTGGGTTTTGGAAGAATTATATTAGGCAGGATAATAATAACGATAAAAAGAAAGACTAACTTAAGGTCAGAGGCGCACAAAGGAGCAAGAACTGTGGCTCAATGTCTCTTACAAGGAACATTTGAAGACAACCACCAGGATTTTTCCACTTCTGTTCTCACTTTTTTAAAAATGATTTTTGGAGGGGGGGATAAAATAATAATAAAAAAGGAAGAAACAAATAACTTATTGGAAGAAATCAGAGAAACATTTTGGTGTCAGTGCTTTGATTTCTTGTTTGGGCTCAAATGTACAGTATATCTTTTTTTTTAAAATTAAACTATATCCTGTGTCTACACTAGGAAAAAAAAACAAATCTTCCAGTGATATTATCTGGGACATTTCCATTCCAGCATCCTCATTCCCCCCTCCCTGCCTCATCTTATCTTGCCACTCTGTATCTATCTAGACTAGGAAAGGGGTGTTTTGGGTAGCAAAGGCTATAACTTGCTAATAGAATTGTAAATGTATTAAACTGTTTCTACATTAATTACAATGTCTACATTAATTACAGTATATTAGGTGTTTCAATTCATGTTAGCTCAATCCAGTTAGCTAACTCGCTTTTTAAAAGACACCCCTTTTTCCTGGTCTAGACAGACCCTGTGATTACCAGTGTTTACAGCTATCTAGGCTTAATTTGGTATTTAGCTTTTATGGTAAAACTTCATTGGCTCTCAGGGTGCAAAATTTGAAAATAAGGTGCAGTCAGATGTTAATGCTGTTTGAAACTCCTATTCTTATGTGTAAAGTATCCTAATTTCCTCTAAAGGGTTTATATTCTCAACAATCCTAGTGTTTATATATTTAATTTAGTTATGGGGGTGTATTGAGAGAGATCTACCCTTTTTTTAAAAAAAAAAGTGCTAGTAACTAAAACTGAGTATGTAATTCCTTCTCAGGAGTATGCACTATTTTTATTTTCTTCTGTTTCCCAAAGCTTTGCCCGCTTGGCTTATGAGCTTCTTCAAAGAGGACTAGAGCTCCCTACACAATATATCAGGTACAGAGAAAAATAATCCACAATTCTGATACTTTTTCCCCCCCTTAAATCAAAGCCAGTCGTTTCAGAATTCTGCGGGTGTACTTCTTTAAAGAAGCTCAAAGGGAATAATTGAAACCAGCTAAAAATAACCGAAATCGAGATGTCCTATTGAGAAGAATACAGTTTTGTCCGAGGGTGCTTGCAAAGACTTGCTGGGGTATGAGTAGTTGATACTCAGAGCCAAGGCAGCTGCGATATGCAATTGTGTGTGTGCGAGCTAAGGGTTGGGTGGGATTGCAGGATAAAGCCCTATTGTGTCTCGCTAGAAAGTTATTACAATGTTTCTGTGAGTTGCTTTAGAACAAATTCAACGGGAGAGGAAAAAAATCCACCGGTATTGCGGGGGTGTTTGTTTAAGTTGCTTTTCAGTAATGGGGTGTATTACATGATGTGTTATGGCATATATGGAAAATAACACTTATGCTTAAGGAGATGAATTTCAGCTTGGATAATTGTATCTATTCAGTGGGGGTAGAGTTTCATGCATTAAAGAATCCTTTCACTTATGTCAGAAAAGCGACTGTCTCCGGGTGAAATCCTGGCTCCATTCAAGTTTATGGCAAAGCTCCCATTGACTTCAGCAGGGCCTGGATTTCACCCTCTGTTTCAACTTAAGATAAGATATTGAATTAATTGTGGCTCAAGGCTGGCCTCAAATCCCAAAGAGAAGAAAGTCAATCCTCTGGACGTGGTCTTTATTTTCTAAATACCTGCGGATGACGGGGGGGGGGGGGGAGGAGGAGGAGCTGATGTCCCCTGTCTCCCTTTCCCCATAAATTATTTCTTAAAAGCACCTGTCTTTCGGGCCCCTGACAGAGCCACGCGTGTTTAGCTACGAATACTACACTTTCTAGATACTCACCATTGAGGTCTCTTGCTACTGTTAATATAGAGGATTATCTTCAAGCAAGAGGAGAAATTTACCTTGCCTTTCAAACCAGGGACTTGAGCATGCAGAAACCAAATCTCACTGACCTTAATTTACAGGAAAATCCCCATTCTACCCCAAGGGGATATTAACCCTTCACGGTTTAGTCCTAATTCAATCCGAACTTAAAGATCGGGAGACAAACATGGTTATTCCCATTTTGCAGAAGAGGTAAATCGAGGCTCAGAAAGGTTAGATGTCTTCCCAAAGGCTCACAGCAAGTCAAGAACCAGGGTGAGAGTCTAGGAGTTTCCATGGTTGGGAGCCAGAGCCAGCTCACGGATATCTTGAGTTCTGAGCGTTAACACGGCATCTGAACTGCAGGAACCAAATCCTTCCCAATAATCCCCTTGATTTCGCTCCTGTAAGAGAAGTCAGCGGGTTTTAGACTAGGAGCATCATAAGGCAGTCTCCTTACGAAACAGCCTACCCACCTGTGTGAGGTGGGGGAGGACACTTGAGTGGAAATTGATCCCACTAGCATTTCTTTCAAGGCCTGTCTCTCTCTCTTCTGTTAGTGGGAGACAATTCTGTTCTGGAAACCTGTCCCCAACGGTCGTAGCAGCTGGTCCCTGTAAAGAGCATGCCCAATGTACCACACAGGATAGCTCACGCGCAACAGCCGAAGTGGCCTTCTTGAATGCAAAAGGTGCTGTTACCTTGGACAGAAATGGCTGTTGTTCTTCAACAATGTTTATTAAGTAGCTCCGGGAAGCCCCAGTCACGACAAGCTCCCAATCTGTACCAACAGATCGCAAGACACAAGTTCCTGCCCCCAAAGAATTTGCAGGTCAGCTGATTAGCTTCTCTGCAAAGTGTATGCCCTTTGCAAGGTATTTCGGAGCAGATGCAATATAAACACACTACCCGGGGATAAAACTCACTTTGAGTGAGGTGGGAGCGGGATCAGTCCCGTACAATTTGATCCGAAAAACCTAGTGAAGTCCACAGGAGTTTAATTCACCAGACTTTGGATTGGGGTCTAATTAAACATATCTACTGTAGGGGGTGGGAAGAGAAAACCTCCACCCACCTCTTTGGTCAGTGGAATATTCCCCCAGTTCCTTATCCCAGTAATGAGAGAAAGCTCGTGGAGATTTCTCAATTGCAGAAACATGGCATGGGTTTAAAACCTAATCGATTTCCCCATAATCTAATATTTGGCAACTGGTAGCAGGCGTCCGTTGCTGATTATTATAACATGGCTGAACAAGCTACCCCTCTGAACACATAATTCAGCCTTCTGCTCTCAGAGTGTCACTAAAGTGTAACTTAATTGCAAGGCCTTACCCAATCTTTTTGCACTTCCCCAGACTAGGCATCTTTGACGTTTATTTGATAATTGAGTTATTAAAAGATTTGGTTTCCTCGGGATCATAAATCAATAAACAGGGGGGATTAACATGACAGCTTTGCTTTTAACTCAGAGGAAACGTTTAAACAGAGACCTTGAAAAGTTTGTTTTCAAACCAAACGAGTGGGTCACTTGTAAATTTAATTTCACCCTTAAATAATTTGTTGAATGCATACTTGTATATCCCATGTTGAACAACTCAGTTTCTGTGCAAACTGTAGCTCTACTGATAAGCTTAACACGAGATGGAAAAGAACCCAGAGGTCAGTTTGTCACATACGTCATGTCTGGGGACCCGCCCCCAAGGATGGGGGGGAAACTGGGTATTTAATAATATTGGGCCATATCATGTTATTGCAAGTCTTTATTGAATCCAAATCTGATAGCGCAATAAGGTCCATGGCCAGCGATTAGTCAGGCAATTACATGTACCTGTGTGTTATATATTTAAAAAAAATGACCGTCTTGTATCTTGAACAAATTCTGAAACAAAATACCTGGAACTTTTTTTTTTTGTTCTGAAGCCATGAAAAATGCTCACGAACGTGAAAACAACAAAGCTGTTAAGACTGTTACCCTGCTGATGTTTTAGCGGGCTTTCTTAGATTCTTATTTTATAACATCTTTAATTTTCTGTACACTGGAGGGGAGGTCCCAACAACTAATTTACTTGGATACAATAATGCTAATTTCAGACCATAAAGATCACCTAAGCTTACTGAAAAAAGTAGTTTTCTCTTACAAGGTTGTCCAACAAAATACCCCTTCACTCCTTCAGGCTTAAAGAGACCCTAACATTTTTCTATGTTCTCATACACTGTAGCAATGTTAAAGAAAATAGCCAACACCACATTTTAGAAATATCTGACGATACTACAGAGCCCAGCTCCCATAGCCCTTGTGTGCCAAAGTATGTCTATGCGTTAAAAAAAATAAACACACAAAAATAGATATAAAAACAAACATGAAAACTCAAAAAGTGGAACTGATACAATCCTCCTTTCTATGCCAAAATTGATTCCTTTTTGGATCACCTTGAATAGTGAGAAATATCAGTTTAGCGACTCTTCCTAAGAAGAAATGCGGAGAGGCATTCAATGTTAAGTTTGTATATATTTATTTATGCTTAATTTAACGGGAATGTGTAAATATGGCGAGCAAGTAGTTTTGGGTTATTTATCTGTGAATCTATACCTCTGTGAACGGGTGGGGGAATTTAAAAAGAAAAAAGAAAAAAAAGAAAAAAAGAAAAAAGAAAAAAAAACTCGCTTGACTCTAGATAGTATCCGATCTGAATTTTTTTCTGTTCTTTATAGACAAGCTGTTATGGTAATGGGTAGAAATTGGTTTCTTGTCCAGTGATGATCTGATTTACATAAATAATAATAATAAGAAAAATGTTGTGTTTTGTTGTATTTTCCTCTTCAGTTTTTTTGAATGTTGGTGCTGCTTCAATTCTGCAGACGGATTTACTTATAAAGCCAAGAAGTCTTTATTTTCCCAATCTGGGTTTGGGGAAATTCAGGACATGTCTCTACATTTAAAAAAAATGACAATAAATATTGCTTCTCAGAAATGTTGGCATTTTTTCTGTCTGACTCAGAGCTGTCTATCATTTTGCCACCCTTTCCTCCTCTTTCTAAACAGACACAATAAACCTCATGCCATGTTAACATGATCTTTTTGTTTAATTTTGCCGGTCCTCGCTAGATTACTGGTAAATCTTCTCAATCCCAAGTAAAACAAAGTTCTCTGTATTATTTATAACACTGCAATAACAAGGGGGAAATGTCCTAGATGATGATCTCTACTGCTGTATCACTGTAACCCGTTCCAGTTATATTTGTGTGTGTGTGTGTGTGTGTGGTTGGATATTTCTTCTCTATTGATATGTTCAATTGATCAAGCTTGGTGCTGATATTTACGAGGAATGGTTAGCTACGCTCTCCTGTTGTATAATTGCAGCACCAGGAATGATATCACAGTAAAAAAGACTTCCCGAGCAGATTTTTTTTTGTTGGAATTGACACTTATAAGGAACATATCAGCTAGGGACAGATCCTGGTCTCATTTGCACAAATCTGAATCTGGAGTGGCATTGGATTGACTCCGGATTCACACTGAGGGTAAATGACAAGTGTTTTACAATGTTGTGAAGCAGATTAGAAGTGGGAGAAGTACGAGATTAGTCCCTGCTAGAGCTTTTGTGGACCCTCAGTCTCTTGCCTCTTAGAACTAGAGGTGTATTTAGACAAATATAAAACATTGAGTAGCCAAGGAATCTGGGATAATTCATGCCCTATTGGACTCTGTTCAGACTGAATGAACATTCCAGCTGGATTTATTTTCCTGGTAGTGGGCGGCCGGGAGATGCCAGGGGATTGGTTGGAAGTATTTTGCTTTAAATTTCGACACAGCGACACTATCCAGTCCCACCGATTTGACTCCTCGAATAGAAATAATTTACAAAACAAGATAAGAAAAAAAAAAAACCAAGTCTGTTTTATGAAGAATTCTAGGCGCCGTTTGCATCAGCCAAGCAAGGGCTGGAGTCAACTGTGACCTACTTTCGTGTCTCTGGGAAAGGTTCACCCGTGTGACAAAAATGCGCACATAGAAAGTATTTCAGGGATCCATAGACAGTGGGGTGAAGTAGTGTAGCCTTAACGAAAGCAGGACAGACCAGTGCAGAGGGAATAGCGACTCTCAGATCGTGGCAATTAACGCCACAGTAGCGCACCTACTGCTGGCACTGGGTACGAAAAACAATCAAGAAGTCTATTTCACCCAGCCCTGGGCAGGAAAGGGATTCATGCTTCACCCTGGAATCGCTCAGTTAACTTTAGACCCTTGCGTTTGTTTCCAAAGCGCGTTCTGTTGTTCTGCAAGAAACAGAAAAGTCCCACGACTAATAGGTGGAGGGATGGGAATGGGGAGGGGACTAGGAAGTTCCTCTGTTATCCTGCAACCATTGCGTAACAATTCTTTTGTCCCGCCAACCAGGGCAACTCACCAGCTCTTTAGAAAGCCAGTGGCCTGATGCGAAATTCCTGTGAAAACACCCTGAAAGGGCCCGGAGAAGTTTCGCAAGCCCAGAGGGGGTCTTTCCACTAACATGGCAGGCTCGGGCTGTATATTGTGGCAATAATCAGAGGCTCGTTCATGAGATCGTAACTTCTGGCCATCATCTTTTAGAATCGCAGTTATCGAGACCAAGTACATTGGCTAAGTACATTGGCACGTGCTCTGGAAATGCACTAGCAGGAAGCAAAACAATCCTACGGTCTAGTCCTGTTCTCACCTCCCTTTTTCCATGGGCTTGAATCCATCCGGATCAGGCCCCGGATATCTGTCTGTCTGTCTTAAAAATACACACCAGTATCGTTGCAAAACTTTTGCTAGTTCTATTTCCTATTACAGAACTTCACAGTGATGTATATAGTCGTA